GGTAAATCATTAACAAGATGGATCAATAAAAAATAAAAACACAGGTCAATCTTATATTATGGTAAGTGAAAGAAGCCAATGAAATCAGACCAGTGCAGTCTCTGAGGGGCCTAGAAACAGAAACAAGGGCACTTTATGGGGAAATGTAAATATTCTATAAAGTGGCTGGTTATACAGATAAGTAGGAGTATTATGGTTTGGATGTGAGGTGTCCCCCAAAGGCTCACATGTGAAACAATGCAAGAAGATTCAGAGAAGAAATGATCGGGTTAGGAAAGCCTTAACCCGATCATTGAATTAATCATCTGATGGGATTAATTGAGCAGTAACTGAAGGCAGGTGGGATGTGGCTTCAGGGTATATATTTCTATCTGGTAAGTGGAGTCTCTGTGCTTCCTGGTCATCATGTAAGCTGTGTGCCTCCACCATACTCTTCCATCACGTTGTTCTGCCTCATCTTGATCCCCAAGGAGTGGAGCCGGCTGTCTATGGATTGAGACCTCTGAAACCATGAGCCCCTAAATAAACTTTTCCTCTCTACAGTTGGTCTGGTCAGTCACAGCAGTGAAAAAGCTACCAAAACAAGGAGCCCAAACTCAGTGAACTATACATGTGCAATCTGCATTTTATTGTATGTAAATTATCTCATTAAAAAATTCACTCAGCTCTGTCCTTCCAACTCTACTCTTTTGTGTCTTTGAAGAATTACACACATATATATTCACTATCTCCACTTCCTCACCTGCATTCATTTTTCATTTCCCATTAAATCTGTCTTCTTCCCTTATCACTCTACCAAAGTATTTCTCGGTGATCAATTGGTGTGGTTAAGTACTGAATACTATTGAGTACTGAATACTCCTTAGAAATACTGGACTATTTCAAGGCTCAGTCTGGCCCTTGCTTTTCTCTTTCTCTCACTTATTCTGTCTTCCTATTCAATGCAGACTTCTCTAAGTTTTAAAACATTTCCTCTTGGATTCCTCAGAATAACTTCAAACTTTAAGAAATATATTCTTAAACAACTAATAATTTTCTTCCCCAGAATTGTTCCAGTGTTTCTTATTTCAGTGAATAGTACTATCCTCCCTTAAGCTTTCCTTTCCCACAGACCATATCCAGTCTATCACTAAGCCCTATTGCATGGAACCCAGGGGCATTTAACCACTGAGCCACATCCCCAGCTCTTTTTATTTTGAGACAGGGTCTTGCTAACTTGCTTAGGGCCTCACTAATTTGCTGAGGCTGGCTTTGAACTTGTGATCATCCCACCTCAGCTCCTGAGGTGCTGGGATTACAGGCATGCACTACTGAGCCTTGCTCCTAAATGTATTTGAGAACTTAACCCCTCCCATTTCTACCACTATCACTTTAATCCAAACTACATCATCATTTCTCACACTTACTCTTAACCAATCTATCTGCATCCATTCTGGCCTGCTTGCCAGATTCTCTGCCCTACAAAGAATAACTGTATAGTAGTTTTGCTCTGCTCTTTGGATGAAATCTAAAATCCTTAACCCTGGCCTAAAGGATCTAGATGACGTTACCCTTTAAAGCTTCACTTTGTATCACTTCCCTTCACATCTAATTTGCCTTTCATTAACTTGTCCTCTTTTCTTGCCAGAGAACCATTTTTACTTAGTATTCCTTCTGTCCATAATTATCTCGCTGGACACTTAACTCCTATATATTATTCAGATCTTAGCTTACCCACAGAATTTCTCACAGTTGCCCCTTAATTTTGCTTGATGGGTTATCTAAACATCCAACTTCTCCACTAAAAGCTGCAAAACTTCAAAGAATATATTCAATTTTCATCTCCCTTCCATCTTTCAGCTTCTAATAAAGATCTGGCCAGTACAGTACTTATCAGGCCCCAATATTTCTAAATGAATTAATGAAGAATCAGAAATTCTCTCTTTTTAAATGAAGTAACATGGACTTTGGTGTCACATTATAAAAGGATTTCAAGTAATCATCAAATCAAATGTCCTGTTTTTAAGTGGAATTCCAGTTAAACCATTACTTTTATCATTCCTTCCTTCAGTGTGACTTTAGCAATGACCATTTGCTAGACCCTGAGGACATGATAGTGATTAAGACTAAGGTCCCTTCATTCATACAACATCTGGTTTAAATTCACTGACTTTTCATTTCAAAAGTTACTCTTACTTTAAAACCAAATTTGTTTCCTAATTTCTGTTAAGAATAAGTTTGTCATTATTTTTAAAAACAGATCTTTGATTTCTGATGACTACAAGGTAATCTTGTTCTGTTTTATGGAAACATTAATATTTCCCTGTTATATTTTTTAAACATATAGACCTGAATAATTTTAATTGACTATTTAACAATAATTATATGTTTAATCAAAATGAGAGGCAAAGTAAAAAGAATTAAATTGAAAGAAAAAACCTGCTCACACACACAAAAAAACATACAGATTAGACTCTAAGAGAATTACTATATAATCCTGAAACATCCCTCAAAGATAAATGTTAGGCAAAATAATTTTTAAAAAATCAAAGTATGGGCTGGAGCTGTAGCTTAGTGGCAGAGAGCTTGCCTAGCACTGGGTTCGATCCTCAGCACCACATAAAAATAAATAAAATAAAGGCATTCTGTCCATCTACAACTACAAAAAAATTTTTTTTTTAAATCAAAAGTATAAGACACATAGTTTTTTGGAATTCTGAAATAAGTTACATTTTAAAAATCTGGCCACAAGTGTCTACATTATAGTACATAGTAAGCAATATATTCACAAATATTATTCCATGAATTTAAATCAATCAACATTAATGCAGATCTGGGGTCAGAAGTTTATATGTTGAATGCATCCAAGTTGTTTTTATAGTGTTAATGGTTTTATAATGAGCTATTCACATAACAAGTCTTCATCACCTGAATTTTCAAGATGGCCAGATACAATGAGGAGAGCCATCTGCTGGAAACCAATTTTTCTTTCTACTTTTCTACTGTGTGCTAATATAAAGATCAAATCTGCAACCAGAATTGCAAATCCTGAATCACTCATGGTTACTCTTCCTTTTATTGTCTTCAAAATCCTTTTAAAATGCAAATTGGAAATATTCTAATATGCTAATTATTAAGTCCATAGTGATGACTTAATTTGCTCATCTGATAACTTCTATTAATAAATCTTAGTTATCATACCGTCATTAATGGCCCATGAACATGAAAATAGTTTGATCAAAATAGGATAAACAATCTCACAGATGATATTGTTAAAACTGTAGTCACTGTCATGTATTTGCCTCTGTTAAACATGTTGGAGGACTAATCAAGGCCAGTTCCAGTCTATTCCTATTGTTACTAATATAATCCAAAATGTATTATCTGCATATGAAATGAAGGTGGTTCCTAATTTCATCATATGTCATTGTTAAATTATTAAATATTGTTCTAAGGGAAGAGATTCCAATGGAGTATCAACTTTTGTCCTTTCAGGTTGACACAGAACAAAAAAATAATAGCCAGTAATTTTTTTTTGGGGGGGGATGCTGAAATGTGATTTTTAAGTTATTCTATTTCTTTTATTTTTTTTTATTGATTGTTCAAAACATTACAAAGCTCTTGACATATCATATTTCATACATTAGATTCAAGTGGGTTATGAACTCCCATTTTTACCCCAAATACAGACTGCAGAATCACATCGGTTACACATCCACATTTTTACATAATGCCATATTAGTAACTGTTGTATTCTGCTACCTTTCCTATCCTCTACTATCCCCCCCCATCTTCTCTCTCTACCCCATCTACTGTAATTCATTTCTCCTTGTTTTTTTCCCATTCCCCTCACAACCTCTTATATGTAATGTTGTGTAACAATGAGGGTCTCCTTCCATTTCCATGCAATTTCCCTTTTCTCTCCCTTTCCGTCCCACCTCATGTCTCTGTTTAATGTTAATCTTTTCCTCCTGCTCTTCCTCCCTGCTCTGTTCTTAGTTGCTCTCATTATATCAAAGAAGACATTTGGCATTTGTTTTTTAGGGATTGGCTAGCTTCACTTAGCATAATCTGCTCTAATGCCATCCATTTCCCTGCAAATTCCATGATTTTGTCATTTTTTAGTGCAGAGTAATACTCCATTGTGTATAAATGCCACATTTTTTTTTATCCATTCATCTATTGAAGGGCATCTGGGTTGGTTCCACAGTCTAGCTATTGTGAATTGTGCTGCTATGAACATCGATGTGGCAGTATCCCTGTAGTACGCTCTTTTAAGGTCTTCAGGGAATAGTCCGAGAAGGGCAATAGCTACAGAATGTACAGATGTCTTCATATACATCAGTACTTGAACCTTCATTAATTTAACAGCTAGTTAAGGCATTGAATGTTAATCCTATGTCAAGCATTGGCTAGATCTTGGAGATGGGATCTTTCTAATAGCTCCGTGATAGTAGTTATTGAACTATGGTTTCAGAACCAGCAGCAGTATCACCTGGGAACCTCTTTAAAGTTCCAAATTCTCAGGCCTCACCCTAGACCTACTGAGTCAGAAACTCCAAGGCTGAGGCCAAGCAATCTGTGTTTTAACAAACTCTTCAGGTGATCCTGATACATGCTCAAGATTGAGAGCTACTGCCAAGTTATTGAGAGCTACTGCCAAGTTAAACAGCCCCTTGCTTTCTATACTAGAAAATTGAGGCTCAGAAAAGAATATAACCAACATGAGATATGAAACACACATTTTTTCCCCACTCCTTATCCGGAGCTCAGAAAAGTGTCTGGCATATAATATGGGCACCCATAAAGATCTTTTGGATAAAGAAGTGAATGAATCCTCTAAAGAACTGTGGTATCATCCAATTAGGTAACAGCCCTAGCATATAATCCCAACTTGCTGAAAAAGAAAAATGTTGATTATAACATCAAGAATTGTAAGTCTAAAACTATTATTTTTGATGCTTGCATAAGAGGAAGTTACCAAAAGTGATCACTACCAAAACTATTTAATCTTTCCATACCTTGTTGTTTTGTCTTAATTTACTTAACTCCAGTTTATACTTTTCTGCTTCTTCTAGGGCTCTATTCAAGCGGACTTCTGTGGTGCTTTGGGTAGAGGCAGCCTGTTTTTGTAGTCGTCTTTTATTTTCTAATTCCTGCATAGTAAAAAAGATAATTTCCCTTTTTATTTTTTCCATTTCCCAAATTTCCCTGAAAATCCCTGCTGCCCCCCTCCACCTACCCCACTCCCACCCCCTCACAACCACAGCTAGTAGATGGGCACTAAGTATTAGAGTTCTCAGGGAATTCTTGCCTCAAACTGGTATTAGAAAAATATATCCTAAAAATGTAATTGTGAACTAAATTCTTACTTTGTTTGGAATTTTCTCCCTTTATTGACCTACAACATTATAACACAGTCCCTATTTTTTATAAGCAACCTTTTATAACTATAGTAGTTCTTTCAGAAGCCTCCCAAAAGGCCAATGTAAGACATACACTCTCACACAAACACTGTTTTTGTGTAGAACTGGCAAAATGTGTCATTTAAGAAAATTCGCCAAATGCAAAACATTCTGTATTAGTCCTACAGGAAAATCTCAATCTTGAGCAGAAACAATAATTTATGAATGATGGTTTTCCATGTCCTGGATTAGACTTATAGTTCTGCAAATAACCTAGGATATTCCATTGCATACAGTCAATAGGCCAACATGAAGAACATAAAGAAACATGAACATACTGGTAACTTCAAACTCCACCAGAACCTGGCCCCTATCAACAAGCCTCATCTCTCACAGATGTTACCTTCAGTAAAATCAGCAGTACTTGGATTACTCCCAAACAGCCATATGTTTCCTGCCTCTGATCCTGATCCCTTAACCTAGTCATTAAGACTCAGAGTTGTTCATTAGGACTTTCCCTCCTCCAGGAAGCCTCCTATCTCTAACCCTCACTATCCACCCAGGTTGCATTGGTTGCCTTTCCTTAGAGCCTCTAGGACTTCTTAATACACACTTATTACAGCACCTGCTACATGGCACAAAACTGTCCATTTGCTTTATTTCGTTCACTCCTTTATAAACTAGTTCCTTGAAGACAGAAACTGTCTTAATTTATTTCCAGCACTTCAGTGGCATATAAAAGGGACTAATGACATCTTTGAACTTATAAATACTTAACCCACTCTTTTTGTAGCCCCTTCAACATAAGGCCTAGTCTAAACCCTTACTGAAAGCAGAGACCCAATAAATACTGTAGAACTGAAATGATACAATAAAAACATAGTCTGTATTCTTTCATGATTTTTTTCTTCTGGATATATCGCTATATCATCTTTGAATACTGATCTCCTTGGCTTTGAGTAATTAAGGGGGAAAACAAAACAACACATGCTGTTTTTATGTAGGTTTCTAAACAAATCAAACTGTGTGTGGATACCATCTGCTGTCACAGTCTTCTTCACAGCTTTGTGGGTGGCAGCTACACTAAAAACTCATATGATTTATTTCATTGTTCACATGGAAAAGGCAAAGAAGTTCATTAGCTGCAAAGTCCACAGTTCTTGCTACCTAATTTCAGCCTTCTCTCACAGACCAGGGGAACCTCCTTCCTGCTGGTGACTTTGGAACCTACTTTGCAGAAAAATGAAAAACATCCTTTATTACATGATGTTTCCCCACCAATTCTTTAACCAATACTGTCCCCTTCTGGGGAGACGTGAAGAAGAAAAAGGATAAAGGACAGTCAGGAGAATAGTAAAGCAGGAAATAATTTTTTTTCTACATACATAAAGCCACTAAAGAAAGGAAAACGTAGTTGAAAACATTTCTGTGTTCAGTCATACTCTAGTATCATTTACTAAGTACAGACAAGATACTACTGGCATCCTAAAAATAGACAAAATTAATCTGTTACTCTCCAAAAAGCAGTTTATATACTGCTGAACAAAAGTTTTATTAAAAATCCCAAGTCTTGAATTTCATGTTTTAAAGAAAATAAAGCTAGATAGCTGGCTGGGGTTGTGGCTCAAAGGTAGAGCGCTTGCCTAGCATGCATGAGGCATTGGATTTGACCCTCAGCACCACATAAAAATAAATAGAGGTATTGTGTCCACCTATAACTAAAAAATAAATATTTTAAAAATCTAGATAGTATAAAGAAAATAAAATTTAGCTTTAAAACCCAATGCTAGGAGCTTCAAGAGGAAATAATTTACCACCCTCTCATAATTCTTATATCACTCATAAAAGACAGTGGGAACAAGAGAGAGGTGCATGTATCAGCCACAGCACAATGCAGTAAACGCTGGGAAAGTGACAAAAGTTCCACAGTAATTTAGGTGAGAAAAATCAGATAAGGATAAATAACTGATCGGATCAAGTTTCAGAAACAAATGACGAAGGTAGAATAAGAATAGACTTGGAATGAAAATCCTGGCAGCTGTGGAAGATGTAGCAATGATGTAGGGTGGGAGGAGATGTGAGATCTAAACAGGTTTTAAATAAATAGAGAGAGAGAGAGAGAGATCATATGGCTTGTTTGTATATTCATGAAAAAGAATCCAATAAATTTTAATTTTGCAAGACAAAGGCAGGATAATGGCAAGATGCAAAATCCTTGAGTAGGAGGGTATGGGATCCACATACAATTAAAGGATCAGCTTTAAACAGAAGAGGTAGTAATCCATTATAACAGGGAGTACAATATATGGGTATAGAAGCAAAGAGGCTGGTAGATTTCATGATAGGATGATGAAGTTAGTTATCTTTTGATTTTTATTTTCTTAATAGAGGGCAGAGTCATGAACTCAGAGGCTGGAAAGGGTGTTGGAAAGTTGAAGAAAGAAGACCAACCATTAATAACCATCTCTGAAAGGGGGAAAAATGTATTAGAAAATGCAGTATGCTTGAGATTTAAATAAATAAATTTAATGTAGGATTAATTAAAAATAAGACAAATCATCAATATCAAGAATGAAAGGGGTCATTATTGTAGGTCATATTATTATAAATTATATTATAAATAAAGGAATATTATAAACAAATTTGTCAATATGTTTTATTACTTAGATGAAATGGACAAGTTTCTTGAAAAATAAAGATTACCAAAGCTGATTCAAAAAGTAATATGAAGGTAGAATAGACATGTGCATTAAATAAATTGAACTGGTAACTACAATACTTCCAAAAAGAAAACTCCACATGGTTTTACCTACAAATTTTATCTTATGAATTATATCAAACACATAGGTCACTCTAACAAAACAGAGTCCAGAAATAGACCCACAAGTATATGCAGTCAATGCATTTTCTACACAGGTGACATGGTAACCAAAGGGGGACAAATTGAAAAAAAAATTAAACATTGACCTTAACCCTCATACCATAAAATTAATTTGAAAGATAGGACATTATGTAATTTTTATTTTACATTATACACACAAACGTGTGCACACACACTCAAAAATTGTAGGAGAAAATCCTCATGACCTTAAGGGTGGACAGAGCTTTCTGGAGAGAATTTTTTAAAAAATGAGAAAATAATGTATGAAATGCATCAAAATTTAAAACTGCTGTCTTTGGAAACATACTGTTAGGAAAATTCAAGTCAAGTCAGACTAGGACATTTTATTCACAATACATACACTTCTAACCAAGGGATTATATATAAAGAGGCATAAGGAACTCCTACAACCCAGTGTTTTTCAAACAGGAAAAATGGTTTCAACAGATACATAACAAGAAAAATATGAATAACCAATAAGCATATGAAAAGATGTTAAACATTAACAGAAAGGAAATAAAAAACTGCAAGGACAAACTACTTCACCTTTAGTAGAGCTAAAATTATTAAGACTGAAAATATCAAGTGTTGATGAGGAGACAGAGGAACTGAACTCTCATACTGTTAGTGGGAATGCAAAATTCAATTATCACTTTGGAAAACTATTTGACAGTTTCTTTAAAAATTTAATATGTAATTTCTATAAGACTCAGAACATTTATCCAACATTCTGATGCTGGATATGAATTCACAAAATATGAATCTACACAAAATACTTGCATATGGAAATCCAATGGCTTTATTTTTAATAAACTGGAAAAAAATTTTAATGCCCACATAAGCTAGTGAACATATAAACAAAATATGGCATATCTTCAAATAAATACTACTCAGCAATACAAAGAAATGAACCACAAAACATGTTATAATACTGATGTATTTAAAAAACATTAAGAACAAAAATAGCCAGATACAAAAACTGCATATTTATGATTCCATCTATATGAAATTTTAGAACAGAGAAAAAAAAATTATAGTGAAAGAATGCAGATCTTTGGTTGCCTGGGGCCCTGGTTAGAAATTGGAAGTTTCTAAGTTTCTATGGGGAAGTGGTACAAAGGACATTTGAAGGAGAGTGACAAATTTTCTCTATCTTGATTGTGATGGTTACAAGGATATGTTAATTCATCAAAACTCATTGACCAGGTGCACTGGCCCTTTCCTGGGAGGCTGAGGCAAAAGGATTACAAGTTTGGGGCCAGTCTCAACAACTTAGCAAGACTCTATCTCAAAAAATAAAAAGAACTGGGGATGTAGCTCACTGGTAAAGCGCCCCCTAGGTTCAATTCCCAGTGCAAAGAATAAAATAACTTCATTGAACTGTATTTTTTAAAGTCTTATTGTATTTAATTCATTCCCCAATAAAGTTAATTTTTTAAAAAGATCAATAACAGAAAAAGTCTAATGCTTTTTGTTTTTATAATTTAGAAAATAATCCATCTGTCACTATCAGCTGCTAAAATAACTTAATACACAATTTAAAAAATAGTTGATCTCATTTGTGGGGAGAATGTAGACTTTGGAATCAGACAAAACAGTTTGAATTCTGTTTGCTTAACCACTCGGACTCAGTTCCCCTACTATGTAACATTAAAAAATTGTTCTTCTTTTTCCTCAAAGGAAAGGGTATAAGCAATGCTGCCTTTAAGAATATTTATTTGATAGAGTCCAGGATATAACGGATGACAAAGAGAGAATGGACATAAAATGACCTATTAAGAGGGTTCAAAAATAATGTAGTAATTGCTTGAACCAAGTGGTGACAAGAAACTGAAAAAGATGCATGAAGACATTTAGAAGAAATAATGCATAGGATAGGATATGAGAGCAAAGAACAAATATGTAACCAAAGTTTCAATATTATTTGAGACTAAAATAGTGATAGGGCTAGTACTTGGGTGTGTAGTGACAAATGATAAATGGCAAATTAAAACACAGTATAGCTGGGCACAGTGTCACATGCCTGTAATCCCAGTAACAGGAGGCTAAGGCAGGAGGATCATAAGTTTGAGACCAGCCTGGGCAACTTAGTGACCCTTTCTAAAAAGGGTTGGAGATGTAGCTCATTGTAAAGTGCCTCTGGGTTCCATTCCCAGTACTGAAAAATAAATAAAAAGATAGATTAAAAAATGACTCAGGGTATGTCTTGGTGGTAGAGTACTTGCCTAGCACACATAAGGCCCTGGGTTCAATGTCCTATACTATCAAAAAAAAAAAAAAAAAAACAAGTTGGTCTCTCAGTCACAGTTTTTTTTTTAGACTAATCATCTATATTTCTTAAACTGACAGAAGTAAAATATGAACTTTACATTTTCTAATAACTACTTTGAGGAGAGGAGGTTAAAAAGAAAAAGGCAAAATTAATTTTATAATGTATTTCACTTAACCACGTATATCTAAAATATTATTTCAACATGTAACCAATATAAAAACATAAGATTGAATACATTCTACTATCATGTGTAACTAATAAGAATAAAAAAAAAGATTGAGATATTTTTAAATTATTCATTCTTCTTTTATAATAAGTCTTTAAAATCTGATGCTTATTTTATACTATAGCACACCACAATTTAGACTAGCTATGAATATTAAATGGCTGTCTTTTTTTAATATTTATTTTTTAGTTGTAGTTGAACATAATACTTAAATATTTTATGTATTTATTTTTATGTGGTGCTGAGGATTGAACCCAGGGCCTTGTACATGCTAGGCGAGCACTCTACCGCTAAGCCACAATCCCAGCCCATAAATGGTTATCTTATTGGACAGTACAGACTTAAACTATTAGATACTATCATCAATTTTCATTACTAAATATGTGGGTAAACTGTGGTACATCCATTCACCATTTACACTACTCAGCAATGAAAGGAATGGGCAACATGGATAAATTTCAAATGCTTTATGGTAAGTGGAAAAAATAAGACTCAAAGGATATAGTTTGTGTGATTCTACTTACATGATATATACTGGAAAAGGCCAAACTATCAGTGATTTTCCAGGGCTGGGATTAGGGGAAGGACTCGACTAAATTCACAAGGAATTTTGGGGGTAATGGAATTGTTCTATGTCATTGATTATGGTAATGATTAAACAACTGTGTGCATTTACCAAAACTCACAAAACTGTATACTAAAAAACAAATTTACTGTATATAAACTATGCCTAAATAAATCTGACACTAAAATTATTACCAAAGATGTCAATTATACCAAAATAAAATGCCTAAAAATAGGCTCTCATACAAATATACTAAAGAGAATCATAATAATGTAGTAATGAAGGAGGCATATTTTCTTACTAAAAACTCAGTACATGCTATATTATTATTTTTATTGTCATTAAGTTTTACAAAGTAATCCTATATAGTATTGTTGAATTTTTATTATCACAATGGTAAATTAATAGAAAAAAATTAAATAGGAGTTCATTTAAAATATATTCTTTCCTTAGATATGACACTACAAGTCTAAACAACCAAAATATTAGATAAAATTTCATGCTTTAAAGGATACCTTAAGGAACGTAAAAGACAACCCACAGGGGCTGGGGCTTTAGCTCAGTGGTAAAGCGCTTGCCTCACATGTGTGAGGAACTGGGTTTGATCCTCAGCACCACATGAAAATAAATAAAGATACTGTGTGTTCATCTACAACTAAATAAATATTTTAAAAAATACATAGAGAGTAGTAGCAACATTATTTTAAAAAAAGACAACCCACATACTTAGAGAAATATGTGCCTATTATATATCTGATAAGGGACTTACTGCTCTGTATAGACTTACAGCTATATATATCCTATTAAAGAATTGTTATTACCAATAATAAAAAATCCAGTTTTAAAAATGGGCAAACAATGTGAACAGCCATTTCTCCCAAAGAAGAGATACAAATAGAAAATAAGCACATAAAAAGTAGCGAAATGCAAAAACATAATAAGGTAACTACTTCACACCAGAAGAATAGTTACAATAAAAAATATACTGTAACAGGTTTTAGTGAGACTGTGAAGAAACTGGACCCCTCCTTCCACCTGTTGGTGGGATATAAAATAGTGTAGCCAGTTTAGGAAACTAAATAGTTCCTCAAAACATTAAACATAATGTCACTAGATAACTCAGCAATTTCACTACTAGGTATTTAGCCAAAAGAAGTGAAAACATATCATCACATAAACCTTGTACATGAATGTTCATAGCAGCATTATTCAAAATAATCCGAATGTCTAAATGATGAGCGAGTTACAGCTATATGATGGAATATTACTGGCCAACAAAAAGGAATGAAATACTGATTGATGTTACAACATGGATCAACCTTAAAAACAAGTCAGTATTAAAAAGCACATATTATATAAGTCCAAGTATATGAAATTTCTAGAATAGACAACTCTATTGAGACAGAAAATAGATTAGTGGTTGCCTAGGGCTCAAAGCATTTGGGGAAAGAGAGGTCAGGTATGGTAACCAAAGGGTACAAAAATATATATATATTTTTAGGTTATAAAAATGGCCTAAATTGACTGTGGTTGTAGTTGTGTAATTCTATGAATATACTAAGCTACTGAATTATGTTCTTTACAGGGCTGGAGTTGTAGCTCAGTAGTTGAGCACTTGCCTTGCAAGTGTGAGGCACTGAGTTCAATCCTAGCATCACATAAAAACAAAGGCATTGAGTCAATCTACAACTAAAAAAAAAAATTAAATGGATGAAATATATAGTATTTAGGTTGTTTTTGGTAAATACTAATAACTGACTAACCAAAAGTGGTGTTTATACAAATGTTACTTTAATAGTTTTAATGTATCTTTGGCATTAAGTTAGGAAAAATAGCAAAATCATTACCCTTTCTATTAAAGTCAACTGTTGTTCTAATCCATCACATTTTTTATTTGCTTCTTCAAAAAGATTTTTATATTTTTCTATTTGGGAATGTTGCATATTAATTGTTCGTTGCTGTCTCACACAATCTTCTTCAAGGTTTTTTACTTGAGACTTTAAATCCTGCAATTCATCTTCCTAGTTACAAAATTAGAGATAGTGTGACAAAATGCACATGAGTTCATATCCAAACAAAGCAGAAAACAAAAGAGGAACTTCAGAATATGATCTTTGATGAGATATTTATACCCATTTAATGAAGAAAAAAGTATATTCCATTTTCATCTTATAAAATGCAAGTCAGATAGCTTATTTGTGTTTAACAGCTTACCTTGTAAGTCTGAAAAAGAATTCTAATTTGTACACTTTTAAAACTTCTTTTGCTTTGTGATAATTCAACATCTTGGAATAAAGTTCTGTATTTATATATAATTTTTAATTCAAAATGTAACTGAATAATAGCTAAAAATAAAGCCATTAAAATATAATTGAAACTGCCCCCAAATGTCTTCGAATGTTAGAGCATTTCTTTTCAGAAGTTTTAAAATCTTACCTTTTTATTGCATTCACAAACAACATTATCCAATTCCTCCTGCATAACATGGAGTTTGGCTTTTAGAAATCTGATCTGTGCCTCTGTGGATTTAAATGATTGCACTTACTGTCTTTTGCTGAATTAATATAACAGCAGTTTTAAGACATACTGCTACTTTAAGAGGGAAAAAATGCTCAAAATAGCTCAAAACAGGTAGATCCCTGTTAAGGGACACTAAAGTCATTAAATACTCCAAAGGCAAAGATGAATGAGAAATCCTCTCAACAGAAAGGAACGACAGGGAACTATTCACATCTCATTAGAACTGAGTTTAGGAGGAGGAAGAAAAATCTCTCCAGAGGATCTAAACTGCTCCTAGACTCCCATAAGTTTGCAGACTGAATTTATACTCAATAAGGTGGTCCACAATAAACAGAATTTACAGAGGTCTCAGGACAGTAATGTCCCAAAGTGACTGACAGAAACAAACACAAATCCTCTCTAGCAAAAGTCAGCTTTAAATCTTTTAAAGTAGCCTGTGCTCCCAAACTACTTTTTAATCTTTTACTTCAATACATAACCCAGCCATTCTAAGCAATCATCTAGAGTAAGGGAAAATTCTTCCACTTAGGTCAAAGATACTAAAAAAGGAAGATACTGAGAGTGGCAGGATAATTCAGCAATAAGAAAAAAGTGGCATTTAAGATAAAGGTCATTTGTCCTAGTTCTCTGAGTATGGGAGCAGGAACATTGTGGGCATGGGCGACTGTCTGCCCATGGTCTGGCCATCACTTCCTTGAAAGCATCTTAAGAGAGACTGATGTCATGTATAACTAAAAAGAAATAAAAAAATTAAATTTGTGGTTAAAAAAAAAAGAGAGAGACTGAAGGGCAACTGACTTATGATTTCACTTACCTTCCCTACCACAATTACCCCTGAAAAGTTTGATTAGACCAATAAATTTAATAAATTTAATAATTAGACCAATAAATTTAATAAAATAAATAAATAAATTTAATAAATATCTCCACTATGACTGACCAGTTTGCAGTTCAATATAATTAGACATACAAACTTGTAATTTTCCAAAGAATCAAGATAATATTATGATTATATAACAAAACTGCTAAATTTCAAATGACAGGAGGGCTAAGTGTGTGCCTGAAGTCACGACTAATTGTACTTATTATAGTTCAGCATTAACTGTTCATACATACTCATTTGTCTTATTTATTGTTTCAATAACATAGTTGGCTCCCCTTATGTTATTTAACAACTTTAGAGCCACTCCAACAGCTGGAGACTAAACAATATGCTACTGAATGAACAATGGGTTGCAGAAGACATAAAGGAGGAGATTAAAAAATTCTTAGAGGTAAATGAGAACATAGACATAACATATGGAAATCTCTGGGACACTATGAAAGCAGTACTAAGAGGAAAGTTCATTGCACGGAGTTCATTCCTTAAAAAAGAAAAAGTCAACAAATAAATGACCTCACATTACATCTCAAAGCCTTAGAAAAAGAAGAACACATCAACAGCAAAAGCAGTAAAAGGCAAGAAATAATTAAAATTAGAGATGAAATTAAAACAAAAGAAACAATTGAAAAAATTGACAAAACAAAAAGTTGGTTATTTGAAAAAATAAATAAAATTGACAGACCCTTAGCTACGCTAACGAAGAGAGAAAACTCAAATTACCAGCATACGTGATGAAAAAGGTGATATCACAACAGACACTACAGAAAAACAGAGGATAATTAGAAACTATTTTGAAAACTTATACTCCAATAAAATAGAAGACATTGAAGGCATCGACAAATTTCTTAAGTCATAGGATGTGCCCAAATTGAACCAAGAAGATATACATAATTTAAACAGACCATTACTGGTATTATAATGCTTTTAGATGATCTAAACATAGTATTATTCTTACAGTGGTATTCAAAGGATGAATTAATAAAGAAAATTATATTAGAAAACTGATTATTGTACCTGATGATACATTGCTAATTCATTTATCCTCTGCATATACTGATTTAACAAGCAATAAATAAACTATAACAATAAATGAAAAGCAGAGAAACTTTCTTAATGTTTTAGTCATGAGCTATGCAACACTTTCAGTTGAAAAGTGCTCAATAAACCCAAAACAATACTATAGTCATTTTTACTTTTCATAATAGAAAATATTGAACATATACAGAAGTAGAAAGATAAATTCATGAAATTATTACAAATGTCAACCCATTTTCAACATTTATGGACTCACAGTCAATGTTATTTCATCTATAATTCCACTCATTCCTCCCATCACCACATCCCATTAGATTGTCCTGAAACAAATCCAAGGCATCACAATAAATAGTTTAAATGCACGAAATGTTCCCCCAAATCATGTTTTGTTTTTTTCATACCAGGGATTGAACCCAGGATGCTTCAACACTGGGCCACATGTGTGCCCCAACCCTTGTTTATTTTTTTATTTTGAAACAGGGTCCTAATTGTTTAGGGCCTTACTAAGTTGCTAAGGCTGGCCTTAAAACTTGCAATCCCCCTAAACTACTAGAATTACAGACATAGGCCACTGCGCCTGGCCCAAATCATTTTTTTCTAAGTAATTGTGATATGAAGAAAAAAAATGACAAAAGAAAATCTACCTGTTCCAATGTCTTTACTCACACCGGAGAAAATGTCATCATCTTCAGGTAAGCCCTCTTCCTCCAGTTGCCCTTCAATTTTGCTAATGGTTTTCGAAAGAGAAAAGTCTGAGAAATCCTCTGGAATGGCAACATCATCAGCAATTTGTATATCCGAGTATTTCAATTTAACACTAAAATATAAAAAATATATATGTATGCATGTAGATAAAATGTGCATGTGTGTGTGGGATGTGTGGAGGTTTGTGTGTATAAAGATAGAAATGCAGAAATGAGATATGGTCTTGCCTAAATAACAGATCAAAATTATTACAAATGTCAAATTCATGATGCAATCTATGATTGAGACTTTCAAGGACTATATAAGACTTTTGATCTTTATAAAGCACACAAGCTAAGAGATGGCTTTACGAAGATAGTTGGTCTAGACGTTGCCTCCAAACAAATGAACATAAAAACTAAGTACTGAACTTGGCCACCTATATCAAATTCAGCCTGTGGCTTTTAATTTTACATGCTGCTGGAGAAGTAGTATAAAAATTGGCATTGCCTGGCTATAATTCTACCAGCAAAGAACAATACCTCTTGAGAAAAAATTATAGAGTGAACAGTATTGGCTTGATCATCTCAACTTTTTTTCTCCCACCTACAGAATCACATTGTAACCAGAATCAAAGTTTATCAAAAAGCTGGATTTTTTGTTTATTTCATGAAGTTGAAGAATAACTATGAAATAAATGGCCTTTACAAAGGCACTGAGTCAGGGGCAAGGCCGAACACACAAACACATCATCAAGTCCATGGTTCCAAAAGGCATCGGAATCCTGCCTAGAAAAACAATCCTTTCTTTTAAAAAAAACAAAAAAACAGTATATGTAAAATCTAAAAACAAGTTAACCTTTTCCAGTGATATAACATATGCTGAATATGTTCTTTTCTTCAGTATTTTTATATCTCTCATCCCTTTCACTTTAATTTTTCTTTCTTTTTAATAAAACTGAAAAAGTTATTTAAGCAATTAAAAGACAAGAATCAAAGAGTTTGCCCGAATTCTAATATGATTGTCAGTTTGGGTAACAGATATATAAATATCATAACTTGCTAAAAATTAGATTGGTTGTTACAATCCAACCTCTTCCTTTTCTACAAAGTTTCCTATCCTAGACAGCCTTTGGGGTACCTTTTTATGCTCCTAAGGATCATCTTGCATTCATTTCACCAAAACCAACAGAAGGTAAATTATAACGTACTACAGTCTTAGAGAATGCCAAGTCATTCTTATCTAAACATACATAATAATGTATGGCATTCTGTTAAACACTCAAAAAATGTTTCTCTTCAGATCATATAAATATTTTCCCTTTTACAAAGTATTCATTAATTGCCACAAAACATTTGTGTAGAAAATGTTTTCAAATTACCAAATATGAATAAGATACATGTAGTTGTAACTTTATATATTTTGGGTATATAGTCTATAAAACTAATAAAGAATGTAATACTTTTAAAATTGCACTATACCTTGAATTTGTTTTAATTCCTTTATTTGCAGAGTGCAGTTTGTTTTGAACTTTGTTTACAGAACCAATATTTTTGGTCTTTGGCTAAATGAAAAGAATTGAAATTATTGATTAGTCTAATCATTTGCCAGGGGAAGCAATTTTTTAACACATTGAATTGCTATTTTGCTACAAAAACATGCTAGCTATTTTCATGAAATTAATTCAATTGTATTTTCAAGAATCCCACAATTATGTACCTGGAAAAGACCTCTATATTATCTGGACCAAAGATTCAGCAATAAAATGAGTCCCAAAGATTCAAGGATATTTAGCATAGTTAGTGGAATATTATATCTGGATGCTTTATCTCAAGAAATTTAGTTTTCACTAATGAATTATTCTTTACATAGGCCTTCCCTGGCCTTCAAGTAAGTATGCAGTTCCCTTGGCCCAGATATTCATGGTAGGGAACTTGTAGATCCCAAGATACCCAGTACCTGGAAGAGTGATCTCTACACTGCAGATATTTAAATGAATGAATAAACCATTAAAATCACCTTCTTTGTATACGAGTATCTTTCTCTTTCAGGTTTTCTATTAGATTACGCTTCAGAGAGAAAACTGAAAAGCCTCAGGTTACAAACTCATTCCACTTGGAATTTCCACTGTCCTCCAAATTGTTCAATGAAATTAGAGGCAAAATGATTCATTTCATAAGCAACACTTCATGAATGCATCCCTTCTGAGTATCAAGGTTCATACTCTACCTCCTCCAAGTTATACCCCTTTTCTGTATGTTTAAGTATGTTAAGTATATTCTATTTCTATCAAGTTTTAGCCCTTCTCTGTATGTTTAAAAACCTAAATTCTACAGAATGTAACTGCATTCACAGAAAGTTTGATTTCATACCTTACTTTCTGAATGTAGATGAACTATTTCTTCAGACGATAATAGACCTCTACACAAAAGCAAATATTACACATTAATAATAGATGATACTAATCTGAGACAATGAAATTCAACATAAATTATATTTGAAAGGAAAATACACAACTATTGCTATAATTCTAGTTATCTACATGTTAATTTATTTTTAACAAATTATATAGAATTATATTTCTATATTTGATTTTATTTATTATATCTTTAGAACTATGTTCTGCTTTAATTCTAGTTATCCACATATTAATTTATTTTGAATATCATTAGAAAAAAAGTGCTTTTTTGCTCCATCATATAGGTGCTGGCACCAACTTCCTTAACAAGAGCCCCAAAGTGAAAGAAATAAAACCAAGAATCAATAGGTGAGATGCCATTAAACTAAAAATGTTTTGTACAGCCAAGGAAATGATTAAGAGCATGAAGAGAGAACCTACAGAATGGGAGTAAATCTTGACTAGCTACCCCTCCAATTAATAGGGGATTAATATCCAGAATTTACAAACAATTCAAAAAACTTAAACCTAAATAAATAAATAAATAACCCAATCAATAAATGGGCAAGAGAACCAAACAGAAATTTCTCAATAGAAGCAGCACAAAAGGCCAATAAATAAGTGGGAAAAAAAATGTTTAACATCTCTAGCCATCAGGGAAATGCAAATCAAAACTATACTAAGATTTCTTCTCACTCCAATCAGAAAGTCAAAGAGCAAGAATGTGAACAACAATGAATGCTGATGAGGTTGTGGGGGGAAAGGAACACTTGCACATTTTTGGTGGGACTGCAGACTAGTACAACCACTCTGAAAAGCAGTAGAGAGATTCCTCAAACAACAATAGGGATGGGACCAACATAAGACCCTACTATCCCACTCCTGGGTATTTTACCAAAAGATCTAAAATCGGCATACTACAGCAACACAGCCACATCAGTATTTATAGTAGCACAGTTCACAATGGCTAAATTATGGAATCAACCCAGATGTCCATCAATAGATGAATAGATTAAGAAACTGTGGTGTATATATGTGATTAAGTTCTACCCAGCCATTAAAAAGAATGAAATTATTTGCTGGTTAAGGGATGGAAATGGAGAATATCATGCTAGATGAAATTAGTCAAACTCGGAAATTCAAAGTTGAATATTCTTATATGCAGAAGCTAGAGTAAAATAAATGAAACGGGGAGGGAAGGATAAGATTACATAAAGAACCAATCAAATACAAATTACTAGAAGAGTGAAAGAAGTCTAATTGAGGAAGGAGAAAGGGAGAGGGGAGGGAGATCAGCAAGGAAAAGTGGAGGATGGTGAATCAAAACTGATTTGCATGCATGTGTGAGTTTGTCGGGATGAACCCAACTACTACATATAACCACAAAGCTCTACTTTATTTAAAAAAGGAAGAAGGAGAAGGAGAATGAGAAGAAGAAGGTGCTTTGGTTACATAATTCACCTTTGAGAAGATACATTATAATACCAATATTTGTATAGATAAAGGTAGCCCAAATTTTAAAGGATAGAAATCATAAGGAGTCATTACTGGCTACACAGAGGGATTATTCATTTTACAAAATGATACATACGCACAGAGCTCCCCCTGACCCCCAAACCCAGTACTGGGTACTGAACCCAGAGGCACTCTGCCACTGAGCTATATCCCCAGTCCTTTTGGGAGACAAGGTCTTGCTAAATTGCAGTGGCTGGACTTGAACTTGTGATCCTCCTGCCTCAGCCTCTCAAGTCACTGGGATTACAGGAGTGTGCCCTCACAGTGGGCACCACAGGGTTTTTTGGTTTGGTTTGGTGGGCATATTCAATGTTATTCTTCTAATGCATTTAAATATTGATCAGTGTCTTTTTACTCATTACACTGTGAGAGAGCAGGAATCACATCTCCCTTTTTTTAGAGGGGGTACCAGGGATTGAACTCCTAGGCACTTAAGCACTGAGCCACATCCCCAGCCCTATTTTATATTTTATTAGATTCAGGATCTCACTGAGTTGCTTAGAACCTTGCTTTTGCTGAGGCCGGCTTTGAACTCATGATCCTCCTGCCTCAGCCTCTCACGCCGCTGGGATTACAGGTGTGTGCCACAATGCCCGGGGGAGATCTCCCTTTTCCACTACTCAATGACTAGTACTTGGCACAGTAACTCACTTATAAGTTCTTATATTGGCACTAAAATATATTTTGAATGAGTTAATACATTCAAAATGTAATTCATTTTTATGCACATTTTATTTTGGGTTTTAAACTATGTTTATGGTTTAAAACAAAGTGTTTATGGTGGCCCACAAACTACAATCTACAGGCTGAATTAATCCATAACCATTCATTACATGTTGTCTATGCCATCTTCCTTGTACAATAGCAAAATTGAATAGTTCAACAGAGACTGTATGACTCACAAATCCAGAAATATTTACTATTTAGCCTATTACAGAGAAAGTTCACCTACCCTTCAATTGTCTAGAGCATCCACACTAATACCTCTGAAAATATACAACAACAGTATTATCATTGCTATGAAATAAATTCCATCATATTACCTTAGAACTCCTTGCCATAAAAAGAGACATAAAATTACTTTCCATCAGAGGCCACTACTGAGCTGGTCATGCATAGATTTTTTTTCAATATTAAACACAAATTATATTTAGATAATATTGAATATGACCTTTTAACTACTTACTAAAAATACCTTAGGGGAAAAAAGTTTACAAAATGTCTTAAAATTACAGAGAATAAAGATTTCCAAATATGACATGAAAATACTTTCAATTACACAAATTTTGACTGTCCTCTTTAATCACTCTAATTTGGAATTGCTTACAATTTCTTCAGTACCTTTTCTGCACCTTCATTACACCCTAACCCCTCCCGGCTGCCCCAAACACATACACATACCTATTGGCCAAATGATATTTAATAGTTTTATGTTTCCCTCAGGATTCAGTGATATTACTTTGTTTGTATATTTCCATGGAAAATGAACTACAATAGTATTCTGCTTACTTTTGTACATTTTTCCATAAAAGGTTTCTTCATAATGTGATTGAAATTATTTGTGTTGTAAATTTTACTTCCAGCAAACTGGTGGATATGTATATTTACTTTAGGAAAAATTAAATCCTGATTTCCTACCTTATTTTCTGCAAGAGTAATCCTAGGTATTGAAGAACTGTTATACATTGTTTGATTATAATTTTTAGGTGGGTTATTATTGTTTTGACATGAAAATGGATGGTCTCTTTATTTATCTCCCATTTTTCAATGATTCCCAACTAATCAAGTGCCATTTTTTACATGGTAAAAATCATCTGTTCAAACAGTAGTATTAAGGAAAAAAATCCATCTGGTAAACAGGCATTTTTATCACTTTGCACTTAAGGAAAACTTGGTAAAAGAAAAATCAACAGATTCATTTTCATGCTTGTGCAGTCTTTCACTTCCTTCAACACAAACTAGAAAGTCATCTGTTGTTACCATCATTTCAATCTTTTAGTGGATAAAGGCCAAATTTGTAACCCAAATTTTGGAATTTTAAAAACCTTTAAATATGTTTTTTCATAAGGTATCACAGATCATTACATATAAGAATAAATGATTTCAAGTTACATTTACATACATATGCTTGTATCAAGTAATATAAAATATATTCATTGATTTACCAAAAAAAAAAATTACAAAAGCAACACATAAGATATTAAATTCTTGGGAACAGGGTCAGTTCTGTTTTTTCACTACTGTACTACTGGTATCCAGATATGACACTAACAGTGTTCAAACATTTTTTTTCAGATGGAGATACAATTTACACATGACTACATATATCCATCTTGGGTATACAGTTCAATAGACTTTAACCAACCTATATAGTTACATAACCATCACAGCCACAAAGATGGAGAATATTTCCATCATCCCCAAAAGGTCCCATGTGCCCCTTGGTAGTTAGTCTCATTAAGCCCCAGCCAACCACTAATCTGTTTTATATCCCTATAGTTTTGCCTTTTCCAGAATACCAAATATAGTCATGATCCCTGTTATAGTTTAGATGTGACATGTCCCCTAAAAGCTCATATGTAAGACAATGAAAGAACATTTAAGGTGAAATGATTGTTAAGACAAATTTTAACCTAATCAGTGCATTAATCCCCTGATAGGGATTAACTGAGTGGTAACTATAGGTAGATAGGGCATGGCTGGAGGAGGTAGGTATTGCAGGCATGCCTTTGGGGTATATATTTGAGATCTGGGGAGTGGAATATCTCTGCTTTCTGATCATCATATGAGCCACTTTCCACCATAATGTTCTGCCTCATCTCCAATATGGAGGAATGGGACTAGGGACTAAGCTGTCTAGGGACTAAGCCCCCAAATAAACTTTTCCTCCTCTAAAATTGTTCTTACCAGATCTTTTAGTCAGAGCAGTGGAAAAAGATGACTAAAGCAAACCCCTTCAGGATGTTTTGGTCAATAATGGACCAAAAACACAATGGCATTCCCACAGGATTATAATGAAGTTGAAAAATTCCTATTGCTTATTGAAGTCATACTCTGAGATTTACAGTAATGAAATTACCTCTGTATTCCTGCCATTAAATAATGTATGACTATAAATGGAAACAGATTCTATATGTTTTTGAGTCTGGTATCTTTCACTTAACAACCATATCATTGTATCAGTAGTTCATTTCTGTTTATAGTTAAGTAGCATTCTAGCATATGGATGTACCAAATTTGTTTATCCATTCACCACGTGATGGATATTTGTTTCATTTGGGGCAATTATGAATAAAGCTGCTCTTAAGATTCGCATGCAGGTTTTTTCTTGGATTTATGTATTCTGCTCTCTAGAGTAAATATTTAGAAGACAAGTGCTGGGTATTGTACCTAGGGCCTTCTACCACTGAGCTGTATCCCCAGCCCTTTAAAAAAAAAAAAAATTACATTTTCAGACAAGGGCTCCTTAAGTTGGCCAGGCTGCCCTCAAACTTGCAATCCTCCTGCCTCAACCTCCAAACAGCTGAGATCATAGAAGTAGATCACAATGCTCTGCTTATCTTATAATTTTCCTGTTAAATTTAGTCATAAATATTTTATGGTTCTCTTAATTTCTTGGCACATAAAAAGTTCATATGAAATTCAAGAGAAAAATTTTGATATACATTATCTTTACTAATTTATTTTTTTTACCTCATCTTCATGTGCAATTTTAAAAGAGAAAGGTAGTATACAGTATGTGAGAACAGGTTTAGAAATATCAACTGTAGTTCAGTTCTCAGGGAAAGGATGTACTTTCTCTGTGTCACTGGACAAGCTGTTGAACCTCTCTAAAATGAAGATTTTTAAATGAGGACAATAGTATCTATTTGCAAATAATACTTCAAGAGTTACGTGACAGGGCTGGGGCTATAGCTCAGTTGACAAGGTGCTTGCTTTGCATGCACAAGGCCCTGGGGTTCAATCCTCAGCACCACCAAAAAAAAAAAAAAAAGAAGAAGAAGAGTTACATGACAAAGTAGGTAAAGTGCTTGCCTTTTATCTGACTAGCTAAGCCCATAATTATTATTTTACGTATTATTCTTCAAATTATAATCTTTCAATATTTGCATGCAAAAAGATTTTATATAAAAAAAGATTCACATAGATCCTTAAATTTAAAAATCAATCAATGGCTTGAGAATCTGAGTCACTTACCTTGTATTAAAATCATCTTTCTCTTCATATGATTTATTTTGTGTTGAAAAAGACCTGGCTCGTACCTCTTGCTGATCTCTCTAGTTAAATGAGTAAAGATATGTCACAGGTTATAATAAAAATTCCAACAAACTAGATATATTCAAATGCCTCTCTGAACATTAATCATTTCAGAGCTGTCCATGTTTTTTTAGGATACCAAAGTATGGAATTTAACATGCTATGGTATGAAAATAGAGTCTGTTATATTATGGCTTCACTTTTCATTTATTCTTCAGTAAAACAGTCAATCTAAACAGAAAACTACAAATGGCAAGGCCCCTATATGTGCAATTCTTATTTCCCCTCAACTACATTAGAGTCTTCCATCTTAAGTAGCATGCAATGTAAATTAGAGATACAAGAAATGAAAAAAAATTCATTTAACAGGTAGAAAATTTGCCGCAAATCAGGTAATACTTTCATATTGAGATGACCATGAAGATGCTAAAAATGAAGTATCAGGAATAAAAGCCTTTGGCAAATATATATCAAGAAATAAAAGGTGAGTAAGCAATTTAGTATGGCAAAAGTTATATTTGGTAAGTTTCTGTGGGGAGGGGGTGTGTGAAAATGTCCCTTTCCATTTCCCAAAATTTCTTCAGTATTTCTTCCCTGCTCCTTTTTGGGGAAAAAGAGTTCTTTTTAGAGAACTCTGAAAAGAAAGCAATCCTTCTGTACAAGTATGCCCCTGTTCTTCATATGCTGGCAAAACTAAAAAAGGAAAATATTTTTAGTAAAATATTTAATTACAAATGCAACTGGCAAATCTGTAACCACTATCTATTACTTCAAATGTTATAATACATTTCTTATTCCTAAACTAATAAATAATGGATTTGTATAGGGCATTAAAATATTGCTAGATTTCTTTCCCTTCCTCCATCAACTCCATTTTTGAAGCCAGGAGAAGGGGATTAAAGGAAGAATTATACTTAAATTTGGGTAAGAAGTGGTAAGTCTGAAAGCAGCTACTTTGCTCCTCTAAAGAGGGCTACTCCATCCTATCAATTAAAAATAGGAATGCTGATGCTTAAGGAGGAATGTTCAAAGTAGGAATATCCAATCTGGTACCAGAATGATGAATAATATGCTTAGATATAACCTCACAGCATTTTTCCTATATATAAATGCAATTCAAATCTAGACCCAAGAATCTCAGTGGGGCTAGATTCAATGGAAGAATTTAAGAAACAAATTCTCAACTGAATATTTGTAATAATGGTTACAACTTTACTCTAGAGATCACTTATTTCTATCCTTACTGAATTATTAGTGTTAATTCTACATAGCTACTCTCAAATACTAATTTTTTGGTAATAGAAAAGATTGTTAAATATTAGTGTTCTTGTTAAGGACTGGAGCATCTAAATGGAAAACAATCTTATGACTTTTAGAAAATGTATGATTACCCAAATACATGTACACATACCTATTCTTGTGCAAATATATTCACATTCAGTTTGTGATCATTCATTGAGTTGAATATAATCCTTTGGCTACTTTTTTGAGCATATGCTATACATCATATTAAAAAGTTAAATGAGCACTTACCTGAAATTATTAATAAATATATATCTACTTACTATTACTTCCTCAGCTTGTCGAACCAGGTCAGCTGTTTTTGCCTCCAATTCTGCATTTAAACGCCTAAAAAGAGAAAATAAGTCAATAACTGGGTTATATTGAAATTCTAATGAAATTTTAAAAATTTAACTTCAGCAATTACACTTTAGAAAATGACCTAATCAACAAATGTTAGAACATATACATGACATTTATACCCTAAAATGATCACAGCAATTGGAACTTATCCCCAACCCTCCTTGATTCTCCCTCCTTTGTGGTGGAAACTTAAACACACTAAGTACTGGCCTTTCTGTAGCCCTTACTCCAGGTGAAATAATATATCTAATAAATTCAGGAAGAATAAAGTGGGAAAACTAACAGAGTTTAACTAGTCATCCTCTTGGGCATGGCCTATCTTTAAAGAATACAAATTACAAACTTGCTGCTTTAGAGATCCGCCCTGCTCCATCTGAGGATGGGTGTGGACTGGGTAGAGGAGGCTGGCTCTGGTCTGAAGTGCTGCTATGATTGGGGAGCTAAATCTCAGGGTTAGTGAGCAGACTAAACATGGTTTACAACTCAGCCACATACTGCAATATCAACTTCATCAGAAATAAAAGGAATTAATAAAGGACCTCCCCTTACAACTCCTTTTTCCCATCAGTCTATTAGAAATCTAGCAAAGAACAGAAAGACTATTTACTTGGTCCAATCAATACCACAAGAATGACAATATCATTGAAGAAAATTGTTTTTAAAGGAAAAAAATGTTCATAATCCTACTACCACCATCATCCAGTTTTAATATTCCTTTCCAATTTTCATCTATGGTATACATACTATTTTGTATGTATACCATACCACTGAGCCACAACCCTAGCTCAATAGTGTGGTGTTTTAAGAAAGGTGTTTTAAGCCACAACCCTAGCCCAATACTGTGCTGTTTTCCCACAGCAAGACAGAGGTAATATGTTTATCTCTACATAAGTTTTAGCATTGAAATGGCTCACAATATTCCAATGAATTTCAGTTAGCATGTGCTAAATTCTGCTCAATGAGTTCAAGTCCCTTTTTCACTATTACAGATAAACACAACAATAAACACCTTCAAAATCATATAACTTTTTTCTCCTTTTGAAAAGGTCATAGTTCTAGACCAGTAGGCTCTTTTGAAACTATACGAGGGAGATATGTGGAGGAATTTTTCTTATTTATGTGAATCAGAAGTAACAACCACTTATAACCATAGCTCTCAGGAAATAGGAGGGGGTAGTACCATATTCTTTCTTAAAACAGTTTGATTTTTAAAATGGATACAATACCTTTATTTTATTTGTTTATTTTTATGAGGTGCTAGGATCAAACCCAGTACCTCACATGTAGTAGGCAAGTACTCTACCACTGAGCCACAATCCTACCCCAATAGTGTGGTGTTTTAAGAAATACTTTTATATCTTGAGATTACATGGTCAAAAGAAAAATATCTAAGACTTCAAGTTGCATTTAAGGTGCCATTATCTGATTTTTCCAATTTTCCTAATAAGAATCAGAAGGACTTAAATAGAAGCTTCAACCAATATAACTGATAGAGATGACTGAGACTACACTTCTATTCCAATCTATGAAAATGCCAGATAACATGTAATGAAGGAACTATTGCAAAGCTCAAACTCAGAAGGGGAATATGCCCACATACTAAGAATAAGGCAGCAATTCAAAGTGAGAGCAGTAAACAGGAATAGAAGCCCAAAGAGCTGAGCATGAGTCATGAAGGGCTACACCTGTAAACACATGCTACAGAAACTCCACCCATAACCTTACGTGAGTAGAGATGAAGGTAGAGGCATGGTGGAAAAAGATTACCATATGAATAAGTGGAACACACGTAAGTGGAGTCATCTTATACAGATGGTTCAGGCACACTCTGCCAATATTTTAATACAGAAGAAAGCTGCCCTGGAACGAAAGAAAACTCTTAGCTAGCAAAAGTAAATTCAAGACCACCCTATAGGGATATTTTCTCATTTAGAATATATGGAACAGAACTCTCTCAGAAAGCAAACCCTGCTAAAATGACTTCAAAAAGAAAAAAAAAATCACATAAACAAGCCACCAAAGAGATGCAAAAATTAAAAGGAAAATCTTGTACCATAAGAACAAGAGATAATGAAACAATCTAAAAAAGGACTTTAATTAGAATTTTAATCTGAGGGGTGGGGAAGAAAGAACAGAAATCATTGAGGAAGACCCAGAAAATATTACAAAAGAATACTGAATTTGGGAAAGAAATAAATAGGAATTAAAAAGATAGAATGGACATTACACAATAACAAAAGGAATCAAAACTTAAACAGGTAATAAAGTATACTAAACAAAAATGGCCACGATTCTAAGATTTTTTTAAAACTATAATTATTTTAATATACCTCTAACAGAAACCAAGAAAGCTAGTACAAAATATGGTGATGATGAAAACTAAACTAAAATGAATAGTAAATAAAATTTCTAACTGTCCTTCCAAGAACACATAGCACATTTACAAAAAGTGAACATGTATGTGGCCACAAGTCTCAAAATAGTTTTAAAAATCAGTATCAAAAGCATTCTTTGACCGTAGTGCCACTTATAATAAACTTCAGTTTAAAAAAAAGTAAACAAACAACCCTACATAAATTAAAACAACACTCCTAAATAATTACTACAAAAATAATAAAATATTTTAAAATAACCACAAAAGAAATTATATAGGTGTGTGTGTATTCATATGTGTATATGCATATATATACACACATATACATATATATATATAATTATATATGTTTGTTTGTGTGTATATATACAAAAAAAAATAGGTTCTAGAATAGTTAAGCTGTAGTGAAACAAAATTTACAAACCCAAATATATTTATTAAAGAACAAAATAAATGAGCTCAACAAGTAAATTCACCACAATAAGAATAATTTATATTTCTATAAGGACAAATATAAAAACAGATGAGCAAGAAAATTATAGCTAGTTCTCTGAAAATACCAATAAAATACATAAATCTCTTGGCAAGATGAATAGAAAAGGAGAAGATAAAAAATAAACACTAAAAAAAACTCCAAAAGTAGATGTATATATGGTCATAGATATAGTCAAGATTTACGAGTATACAATAAACTTGTGCTAATACATTTTAAAGCATATATGAACACTTTTCTAGAAAACTATCAAGTGAAATTTATTTTAGAAGCAACAGTACATCTAAATAGATGCATAATCATTGAGGAAACTGAATTCATAATCAAAAATATTTTTTTTAAATTGGGCTTCTCAAAATTAATAGCCAGAATAAGGAAGCTTTTTCTATTCTATACTACATTGCCCTAAACACAGAGGAGGTAAAAGACAATATATGAGAAATTATAAAAGGGACAAAACTATCTTAATTTGCATATGACCATCTTCATCAAAACTTCACGGGACTCTGTAGAACGAAAAAGTTCAGCAGGGGAAGATCTCTGTCTACATTAGATATAATACAACATGCAAAAATAACTAATATTCTTACATATATAAGCCACTAGACAATGTCATTTTAAAAAAATCACTCAAAGCAACCAAAATTGTAAGGCACCCTGAAATTGTATGCAAGATTTGTATGTAGTAAAATGATAAATTATTAAATGAACCTAAAAACTATGTAAATGGAGATGTATCATTTTCATAAAAGATTCAATACATAACGATGTTAATTCCCTGAAAATACATAAATCCTATGTAATTGGGATTTATAAGGTGGAGGGCTTGTTCTACCAGCTATCATATAATCTTGTTTTGTTCTCTGGTTTTATAATAGAGGCATGAAGTTTGGAGAATCTACCAACTGGAGTGATTAGCATGTTCCTTGGTCTAGCCTTTCCAATAGAGATTGTTTCCTCCAACTATGTGACAGGAGCTTAAATGTAGCAGATTCTGGATTGAGGTCACTGGGAAATGCTGTGTTCTGCTAACTGAATATATATACCAATATGCTTAATACCAAGACAACAGGTGTCAAAATACTGTTATAAACTTGCCTATAAGGATGGCCAAACATTTTACATTTATGCATGGCCCAGAAATGCTCTAGAAGTTTTAGGCAGAATCAGGGAGTTGCTCCCTTCACATGCCTCAGATTTGCATACCTTGAAGTACAGATAACAAACAGAACAAGCAACTGGCCACTTTTACTATTAAACAACTCCTACTAAAACAGAATATTTCCTATAGATTTCTGACTTTAATGAGGACTATATATCCTTAATGACACACCAGAGCCAGCTGTAAAACATTCTCAAATAACTAAAACAAATCAACCTTATCAAAGTAGGTATTTAATACTATCTAGTGAATGGCAATGAAAATAACCGTTTTGATTCCAGCACCAGCTGATAACTGTATATGGACAACATACTCAGCTGTTTAAGTACACTCTTGTTGAACTAAGACAACAAGGCACTTTTTAACAGGAAGAGAAGGATTGATCTTTCTACCTGCTGTACAAGTTGGCTTGTGTCTACTTCATCTAAAAACTATACACTCCAGTTTTGACTTTTTTTATAGTTTTTTGGTTATACATGATTGGTAACTGTTTAAAACTCTGAAGATATGCCAGATTGTTTTTAATTTTTTAATTATTTTAAACTGAAAAGTTGTTAAAATATACTTTTTTTGCAAGGGTATATATGACGGCAAATAAAATGGACATAAATTTCTGCTTCAGTGGAATTTTCAGTCCAGTGAAGTAGAAATTTTATAAAAGTAAACAAGTGAATTCACTGTAACATTATAATTGGGAAGAAAATCAATAATACAATAAATAAAGAACAACAGGGTGGTCTGTATAGCATGGTTAGGAAGGCATTCTGGGCATTATAGGTGGAAGGCATGTAAGACTGCCTGTAAGGAAAAGAAAAAAGTTTGAGGAAATAAAGGCCAGTGAAACTGGAGAGTTTTAGGCCAAGAGAGACACTGACATACAGACAGACAAGAGGTAGCTGGAGAGGTAGAGGAAGGGACATCAAATAAAAGGATAGGAAGAACTAGATATGGCAAAGCTTTTGAAGTGCAAAAGGAAACCGCCGAGGAGCTTACAGCAATGGAACGACATGATGAAAATAAAAGATTACACCCTAGCTGGTGGGTGAAAACTGAGGCATGGTGAGAGGAATGGGGCTGGATCAATGAGTAGCAATGACACTGAAAACAGATAAGGGAAATCCTCCTCTCATTCCACCAAATGTGGGTAAGAACATAATTCTTGTTGCCCTGAGAAATATGCTTTCAATTTAGAAAACGAGCCTAAAAGAAATTTACACAACGTTAACTCTAGGAACTCGAAGTCAAGCGAAACACCCTACGCTAGAAACAACGTGGCAACTCCCGCTATCCTAACCACTTTCAACAACTCCCTCCCGCCGACTAACACGTTCACTGGGGCTCAATCTCCGCCCACTTCAGTACGATACAGGCGGGTAACTAAGGTGGAGGACCAGAGAGGGGGCAGGTGAGCGGGATGATGGGAAGGGAATGCTGGACAGCGGGTACTCCCGAAAGTTCTGTCGACAACAGTAAAAAATACTCGTCAGCAGCCTCGTTTGGATCAAAGAAGAAAACTCCACCGCCGAATTTCTTACTTATATTCTTCCTCCCTGGCGAGGAGATCCTGTCGAGGTGTGGCAGGTTTCTGCCCACGCGGCGGCAGCGGAGTCCCCGGAACGCTACGTCTCTGTAAAAGAGGCAGAGACTTTCAGACCCCAAGTTCACGGAGGATGGACGTCCTCAATGCCCGCAGCCCATTCACCAGCCAGAGGTCTAGAAGTGAACTGACCCGAAGACCAAGATTTCGACCCGCCATCTTTCAAGCGACCGCGACGCCGTTACCGAGGCGACGACACATCTTCCCGCGAGAGTTTCCCAAAGCCCGGAGCCTCCCGCGGGAGCGCCCACCCCTTCCTACTCACCGCTCTACGGTTACCCGGGTGCCACACTCGGGCCATGGGCGGGGCCGGCGCTCTGCACCTAAGTGGTTACCTACCGGAGAGCCGGCTCTGCCCGGTGAATCCAGAAGCTGACTCAGTGCTTTGATCGACAGCAAGCGAAAGTTCTCAATTTGTAGGGTGGAAGGGATTCAGCAGGTCCATTTCTGATACAGCCAGCAACTAAAGCCTGTTGTGTTTTACAGCCAGTCCCACTCCCCCTACCTTTGGTTAAAAGACACTTTTCAGTAGAATTCTGAAGTCCAGATTTCTAGCTTTTACTTACCGCGGTTAAGCGCTCAGGCTCTCAAATCAGTCAGCCCAGGTTTACATCCTGGTTCTGCCGCTTACTAGTTGACTTACTAGTGGTATGGCCTTTGATAAGTCACTCTGTGTCTCAGCTACTTCATTGATAAATGGGAGTAAGAACAGTGCTCACCATAGAGTTATAAAGAGCAAATTAACTCATTTAATGTAAGATTATGTATAGAGCAGTTTTTAATAATTCCAGTTAAAATTGAGAGTCCAGAAGCCCTTCACATTTACCATCGACTGATTTGCAAGGGCGCCAAGACCCTTCATTGCGAATACTAGTCAAAAAACGGAGGACAACTGGATATCCACATGCAAAAAAAAGAATGAAACTGGGCCTGTAACTCATATATGTACAAAAATTAACTCGAAATGGCTAACAGATCTAAACAACAGAGCAAAATACAAAGTTATTCAAAGAAATCATAGGTATAAATAACCTTCATGACCTTAAATTACTTATGGATTCATTGATATTATGTCAAAAGTAAAAACAATAAATGAAAGTAGATTAACTGAACATCATCAAGATTAAGAACTTTTTGTTTCAAAAGATACCATAGAGTAAAAACACAAACCACAGAAAGGAAGGAAATTTTGCAAATATATATCTGATAAGAGACGTGTCTAGAATATATAACAAACTGTTAAAATAATAAAACTAAAAAGATGAAACAAAAGTAAAACAAAAAATAAATGGATAAAAGATTTTGACTAGTTACTTCTCCAAAGAAGACATATAAATAACTAAAAATCACATTAAAAGAGGCTTGCTATTATAAACCTCTAAAAGTACTAAGAAAGAAAAAAGAAAATTCACAAATTACAACTGTTCTGTATTCTTCCATGTGATGGTCACTCAAGAGGACACAGGAGAAATCACAAAAACAAAGTATTATATTCAAAGACCTAGAAGTGAGGCATGTCATGCCACACAGGGGTATATGGGGAAACCTCAGGTGGTGAAGAGGAAGAAAACATGATTGAGGGGAAGACCTAAATTATAGCCTTTATTGGAGTTTTCACAGGAAAGGCACGGCAAGGAAGAATAAATAGATGCAGTTTGAATAATTTTAGAAAGCTTTGCGGTATAGTCATATTTGCCTGGACTTGGCCCTAGGATGGTTAAAGCAAAAGAATTAATCCTCCTAGATACAGGAGCCAGGTGTCTAGATTGCTTAGCTTTTAGGTCAGAGGCATGCTTCTGGCTAAGCCCTTTGTTGTCTTTAAGAATTGACTTCCCCTAGGGTGGGTATCTCTCCCCAGTTAGAGAAGATTTTTAAGATGTCAAAAATTAAAATATACAGAAAATTTAAAAATATTAATATAATGCCAACATTATGAATGGGATAGGGTGAATCATCTCATGAACATTAAAAGGATAATAAAGGAATATTATGATCAACTCTATAACCCAAATTCAGTAAATTAAAAAAATGGATCAATTTCTTGATACAAACTACCAAAACTCATACGGGAGAAATAATCTGAGTAGGCAAGGATATTAAGTTAGTAAACTTTCAGAAAAGCACTAGGCCTAGAGATGTTTACTTTAGTTTTACCAAATACTTAAGGAAGAAATTATAACAATTCTGCCAATCTCTTCCAGAAAACAGAAGCAGAAGCAACTTCTACCTCAGAAGGGAACTTTTAACTCATCTTATGAGTACCAAAAGCTGTTAAGGACATTGGAAGAGGAGAAAATAAAGAACTGACATCTTTCATAAACATAAATGCAAAAAATTTTCAACAAAATATTAGCAATTAGAATCCAACAATGTATTTTTTAATAAAGTATTACAACATGACATAGTGGGACTTGATTTCAAGTATGGAAGGATGTTCAGTATTCTAGAATCAATAATTATAATTCAGCAATGTAAAACATCAAGAGGATAAAGAAGAAAAAAATCATATGATCATATAAATGGGTGCTGAAAAAGACTTTGACAGACTACTATAGCTACTGAGGTAGAAAATCTCAGCAAACTAGGAATAGAGGGGAATGTCCTCAACTTGATAAAGAACATTGTTATGGTTTAAATGCGAGGTGTTCCCCAAAAGCTCAAGTGTGAGACCATGCAATTCAGAGAAGAAATGATTGGGTTAAGAAACTCTTAACCCAACCAGTGAAATTAATCACCTGATGGAATTAATTGGATGGTAAGGGAAGGCAGGTGGGGCGTGGCTGAAGGAGATAGAATATTGGGGGCATGGCTTTGGGTTATATGTTTGTATCTGGTGAGTGGAGTTGCTCTGCTTTCTGATCATCATGTGAGCTGTTTCCCTCTGCCACACTCATCTGCCATGATGTTCTGCTATACCTCGAGCCCAGAGGAATGAAGTCAGCTATCCACGGATTGAAACCTCTGAAACCACGAGCACCCAAATAAACCTTTCCTCCTCCACAGTTGTTCTGGTCAGTCCTTTTAGTCACAGCAGTGAAAAAGCTAACTAAAACAAACATCTAAAAAAAAAAAAAACCCTACAGCTAATGTCAGACTTATTGGTAAGAAACTATTCACTTTGCTCTAAGATCAAGAATAACACAAGGATGTCTGCTCTCACCATTCTTATTTAATATAATACCTGAACTCCTAGCTAATGCAAAATGTCAAGAAAAGGAAATAAAAAGTATACAGAATAAAAGGTAAAAAAATAAACTATTTTTCCCCAGATAACATGAGTATCTATGGAAAAAAGAATCAAGCACAACAACAAAACTAACAAACAAACCCTGCTGGAACTAATAAGTAAAATTGATAAATAAAATTTGATACATACACATATGTATATACACACATATACACACACAATGGACCATTATTTGCCTTAAAAAGGAATGAAGGCATGATACATGCCACAATATAGAGTTATGCAAAGTGAAATAAGCCAGATACAAAAAGACAAATATTATATGCTTCCTTTTATATCAGGTACCTAGATCTGGCAAATTTATATATAGAGAAAATGGAATAAAGTTTACTGGAGATAGGAGATAACAGAATGGAAAGTACAGAACTTCGCTGAAGACAGTGAAAAAGTTCTGGAAATGGATAGTGATGGATCATTGCACAACACTGTGAATGTATCTAACGCCACCAAGTTTTACATTTTAAAATGGCTCTAATGCTAGAAAGTTTTTACCACAAAATATTCCAATAGAGGGGAATCCTACAAAATACCACATTATTATTACTCCTCACTTATCAAGGTCATTCAAGACAAAGAAAGTCTGAGAAACTCTTAAAACCCAGAGGAGCCCACAGAGCATAAAATTATATTCCTGATAGAGTCCTAAAACATAAAAAGAAATTAGATAAAAACCAAGAAAATCTGAATAAATTATATACTTTTGTTAATAATAATATATTAACAATGGTTCATTAATTACAACAAATGTAACTATATTAAGGTAAGATGTTAATAACAGGGGAAACTGGGTTTAGGGTATATAGGAACTCACTAGCATATTCTCAATTTTTCTGTAAATGAAAATACTTCTAAAAAGAAAGCCTACTTTAAAAATGAATTAAAAGTGTTTCTGCTGTAACAGAATTATAATCTAGAGTATTTGGGGCACCTTCTTATTGTAAAATAACTATATTTTACATTTATATACATACACACACACACACACCACACACACACGCCCACACGCGCACACACACACACACACACACTGCTAAACTTGAAGGAAAACATCCATGTGTTCTACTGATTTCTCCTCCAGATCTCCACCCACCCTCCCCTGCAATAAAAGAAACTAATCTTTGGAGGAGGAAACTAAGAATAAAAGGAATAATGTAAATAAATGTCTATAGAAGAACTGTGTTCATAAGCAAGGCTATGTCAACAGTAATATAAACAAGCTAAGCCAGGTACAGTGGTGCACATCTGTAATCCCAGTGGCTCAGGAGAATGAGAGTTCAAAGCCAGCCTCAGCAAAAGCAAGGTGTTAAGCAACTCAGTGAGACCCTATCTCTAAATAAAATACAAAATAGGTATGGGGATGTGGCTCAGTGGTCGAGTGTCCCTGGGTTCAATCCCTGGTACCAAAACAAAACAAAACAAAACAAAGCTGAATCTGAAACCTTGATCTAAGCTATAAACTGCAATTTTCCAAAATTTAGGAAAGAAACAAATGCATAAATTCAAGCAGTACACTGTATCACAAGGAGGATAACTTTAAAAGTCTATTCTTAGATCTAGGATAAACTCCAAAACACCAAAAGAGATATGTGATTTTTAAAGCATCTAGAGAGATAAAAAGACAGACACAAGAAGCAATTATCTATTGGAATACAAAAAGGAGGAGGGGGGAGGAAATAGAAGAGGAAAAGGAGGAGAAATTTAGACTAAAACCATATGGTTTAATAGTAATGTAATTCAGAAAGACAATAAAATAATGAGTGAAATCCCACAATAATAATAAGAATTTGGATCAAGTATTATAGGTGATTAACTACCCATTAATCAGAAATGATTGGCTGCCTTCTATCTAGTTTCATAGGTGGGGATAAACTTTACCTTCTTGGTAGATAGGGTAGGAGCTATTCATAAAAGG